CCTGCTGCAATGATGCGGATGCTGCACTGGTCTGTTGTGTTGAAGAGATTGCTAAGTGTAAAAGCAAAGCTATCAATTTAGATGGATGGATGGATACATCTTCTCACCTCCCACATATAAACTGAGTTGCTGCCTCCACATGCTGCATTTCAGCAGATTGGGTTAATTAAAGCACTTTTTATTAAAGGACAGGCATCATGTCAGCTGGTGAAACCTTAGCCCTCAGGGAGGAAGTTGATGATGGACTGCTATATTGGTGGGATTGTGGGTGTGTGTGTACAATTGAACATAGAAAAAGCACAAGCCAATGTAAATAGACAGCTGTACCCATCACAACAGTGGGCTAAGGATAGGTTTTTATTGCGTCCACAGAGAGCTAAGGGTGTAGTAATACACTTGAATTAAACCAGTGAAATGTTAAGTTGAATCAAGGTTGAAAGGATTGTTGTTTAGTGTGGATATTTATCAGACATTTCATGGTCCAAGAACTTTATGATTATCCCAGTCTGATGTGTTTTAATCTTCAGGACACTGATCCTCACTGTGCTGTGCTGAGGGAAATCGGTTTAATCCAAACAGTTAAACATGTGAAAGGATCAGAAATCCCCAGATATTTCCCATCAGGGTCATTAGTTCAAGGAGTTCATTCAGTATATTTGCCAGGCCTTCAATGCCCTCAATGTGAACCCAAAACATGGTAGGTGTGTTTTATCGTGATTCATATAATACTGATGACGGATTTTTAGGCTAATAGTTAGGCTAACACACTTACCTCTCATGTTTTCTTTCCTCACAAAAGCGATCGATCCTCCACTTCTCTCAAGTGTCTCCCAGCACAATTTTGGCATATTTTGGTTCCTGCAACTGGTACATTGGTTATTGTCTCCCCAGAAACACTTCCCTTGTGCTTTTGGAAATCTGTTTTTTCCTATTTCTGTTTTGTTGTTTCCTATTTCAGTTGTCGTTTTTCCTATTTCCATTGTGTTTTGTGTGCTTTTGCAGCGTTTTTTTTTGCTGGTGTTTTCTTTTCTGTTTGGCCACTCAGGGCCACGGTAAATGGTAAATGGCCTGCATTTGTATAGCACTTTTCTAGTCCCTAAGGACCCCAAAGCGCTTCACACTACATTCAGTCATTCACCCATTCACACACACATTCACACCAGAGATGGGCAGTAACACGTTACTTGTAATGCGTTACTGTAATCTGATTACTTTTTTCAAGTAACGAGTACAGTAAGGGATTACTATTGCAAAAACGGTAATTAGATTACCATTACTTTCCCGTAGGAACGCTGCGTTACTGTGTTACTAAAACCGTGATTTTTTTGCGAGAATGTCTCATGACAGTGACGTAAGCGAGTGTGACGACAACAGCTGTGTGCAGATCAACAATGGATAATATATCGAGTGCGGGAGAGAGTATGAGCGTGCAGCGTTTAAAGCGTGTACTGACCTTACTTTGAGTTTGATTCCATAAAAAGTGACAAAAACATTAGCGTCCGTTGTGCGTGGGAAGAAAACTTCTTTTTACAGCGAAAAAAACCCCTAAACTTCTGAGCAAGCACCGAGTGCGCAACGACGTAATGGGAAACTCACAGAGAAACTCACGGATTCTTCTTCAACTGACCGCCGCGGCACACCTGCACCAGGGTAAACCTCCGCCTGCCCCACTCCTGCTTTGCAGGTGAAAATAGAGCAACAGGACCGCTAGTCTTTGACTTTATTTATTTTCTGCTGTGTTTTACTGGCATCTATTTGAAAGACTGAGTGTAAACACAAAAAATATTTTATTTTATGTGCTGGAATGTGCAGAAAATAGCTTTAAATGTTAAACTAATTTATTCAAGTCAGAGAATGTTGCATATAATTAAATTTTTGCTTGATGCATAAAGTTAAAAGATTAAAACTAATAAAAAGAGACTTTTCCATTTGATTACATTTTGTATGATGGATTATGCAGAAAAAGTAGAATTGGGCTGAAAGATCTATCGCTTTATCACCTATTCAGGTTGTAAATCGTGTTTTTAAAAAGTAACTAAGTAACTAAGTAATTAATTACTTTTGAAAATAAGTAACCAGTAAAGTAACGGGATTACTTTTTGGGGGAAGTAATCAGTAATTAGTTACTGATTACTTTTGTCAAGTAACTTGACCAACACTGATTCACACACTGGCGATGGCAAGCTACATTGTAGCCACAGGTGCCCTGGGACGCACTGACAGAGGCGAGGCTGCCGGACACTGGCGCCACCGGGCTACGTAGGGGCACGGTAGGGGCAATCACTTTGTGGCAGACCAATGTCATTGTTGCAGACGATCACTTTTTGGTGCAACACCTGGCGCTAGGGGGCAAAACAATCACATGAGGCTGCTGTTTGACTGAGGAAGAATAAAGCAGTCGTGGTAAGCCAATCACACGACCACTTCAAGATCACAAAGCATCAATGTGATATATACTAGTTTTTAAATTGTGTTGATAGGCCACGTAAAACCAGAGTTGATAAACAATATATACGTGGTGTTTTTTCCTGAATACTTTCGTCATGTTTAATGTCTAAGGACAGCATTAGCAAGCACTCTCTGCTTATGACCTTGTGTCAGGCCTGCAGGTATCAGGCTGTGATGTTCTCCTTTATAGTGGACAGAAAATATTTTTGGAGTGGCACAAATAATTTGTGTGGCATCTTATTTAATAGAGAACACCTGACTGTTATGTAAATAGTTTGAAATGGCTATAAAAAAGGTGAAAAGTAAATGGCTGCAAATAACTTTGTTGTTTGCAAAACTTGTGCATAGGATTTTAAAATTTACAATTTATATTTACATTCAAAGTTATGAAATTGTCAGGGCTCTGTGTGCGGGCAGGTGGAGATGTGGATCCAAATGCAGGACTCGGAAACAGAATGCACCTCAAAAAACCTCAGCTTTATTGCTGGACACACTGACATAAGACATAATCTTTCAAAATAAAACAGGAAACAATAAACAAAGACGCAGACGCAGACTAAGAAACATGGACTTTACACGGGCAGAATTAAACTTAAACCAGAATAAGCTGGAACATACTAAACATCATCATCATCATCATCATAGCCTGACAATAGATCAAGAAAATAACCAAAAATACAAAATCAAACCAAAACATGAGAACTCAAAATGCTGGGTCAGAACTGACCCAGAACCGTGACAGAAATATGATTCATTAAACACGTTCGTGGTTGTTACAGTAAAAGAATATAACTTTTTCTACTCAAAGTTTGGGTTTTTTTGGTATGATTTCAGATCAGTTGTGCTAATACAGTATGTCAAAATGAAAACATAACTGTAAATTCAGACATGTGAGGCTGTGCTGAAAAGAATGATACCAAACATGGCAAAGTAAATAGTTTTTAAAGGTGAAATGTAGAGGTAAAATTGAAAGTAGTCAAAAACAGCCAATTATACCCTAATTGTTTTTTTTTTAAAGTAACGCAATTGTTACTTTTCTTAGTAATTAATTACTTTTAGAATTTTGTAACTCAGGTACTAACTCAGTTACTGTTTTGAAGAAGTAATTAGTAACTATAATTAATTACTTTTTCAAAGTAACTTGCCCAACACTGATTATTAGTTAGCTGGGTACCCAGACAGGTTGCCAGGCTTTACTTCTGTTTTGTTTCAACTGTGCACCCCTTTGACTGTGTTTGTGGTGATTGTGCCTTTTTTAATGTGATTGTGTGGCATAAACTTTGATTGCTGTGAGGTGTAAAGTCCATCCAGTTTTTGGTGAGTGAAACCTTTGTATTTTGTTTTAGCAAGTATCTCAGTCTGTGTGAGGCACGCATATTATCACTAAATCCTATGTTTAAACATGTAGTCTCAATGCGATTGTGACCTGTGTACAAATTGTAAAAAAAAACAGACAAAGATTTACATAATAAAAGGACGTATCATACATTATACATGCAAATTAAGAAAAATGTGCAAGAGTAATCAGAATCAGAGAAATCAGAGGATGCAGGTTTTTTGCTAGTGTGTTCCATTTATAAGCAGCAAAGTCCAAATGCTGGTTTTGGTATTCGATGGGACTGTTGTTAATTTTATGCAGGCTGCTGAACCTACATCTTGACTGCCACAACCACTACTTATGGCAGTCCTAATATGTAATGTTCGTGAATC